CTTTGTTCTTGGATTCTTTGAAACAAGTTTCATCTGCCAAATACACAGAACATGCAGAAGAAGGAGTTCCTGTGGTGGAAAGAATCAGCCACTCATCATCAATTCAGAGTCTGATTTTTACTTATTTTGATCTTAAAAGGGCAGCATTCAGTAAAATTTATCTTTCCATCGTGTTTTTATGTTTTTCCCTCCTCAAAACCAAACCTGGAGTGTTGCCTCCAGCTTCTGTGTGTCTTTTACGTTCATGTGTGATTTTATACTTCAATCGTGTTCGAAATAAATAAACAAAAAACAAAGTAATTTAAAATGTGTTGAAACTTTATATCTGGGGAACTTTATGCTCAAAAACATCATCCACAACCATCTCAACAGAGAATTTGGTTGATTTGACCTTTGAAGGCCAGATTTCAGAAGAAACATTAACAATCCAAATTATACTTTTGTATTTTTATAATAGATAATCTTCAGGGAAAGTAGTGAGCTTCCTGTCTGAACAACAGGTGACAACATTTATTTGACAAATTCCAGCTGGAAAGGATTTGTTTCGTCAGTAAACAAACAATTTTCCATTTCCATGATGCTGACAGAACCAATCTGAGGATCCATCGTTACTCCTGGGATTGGAACCGACTTCCTGTTTTACGCCGTCATAAAGTCAGAGACATGACTTTAAAAATGAACTGGCAGGCAGAACAGAAAGACATCTGCTCTTTAGCTTTATTACATCATTTCTATGATGCAAATCTTTTGGGCCAATCAAACTACTGATGTAAAACATATCAGATCATCGCTGGAGGAGGGAAGCAGCCAGGATCAGCTCGCTAAAGCTAACAGTTACTGATGACGGAGATCCACATGCCATGAATTTCTGTTTTTTTCTTTTAGCATTTCTGGTGAAAGATTTCTGTGAACGTCTCCTGGGCCAAAACACGACAGCTGCGGCGAAAATTAGGTCATGAAAATAAAGTCAGAGCAGAATGGCGCCTCGTGTGGCATCAGTGAGGAATGCGACGACGTGAAAAATCAAAACTGATTGGAAGATTTTGCTTCGGGCCGTTAAACTGCTGAACCTGTCATATCGGCTTTTCCCTCTGATGACAGCGCCGTTTGTAAAGTCAAACAGTAAAATGTCAACAGCAACACTTTGGTTTATTTGGTCAGTTAGAGAAAAATGGCTGCTATTCCAAGCTAAATATTTAGTTCACCAAGTTAAATTAAACATTTAGAGAGAAGATTAGTGAGACTCACTAAATATTTAGGTGATTAGCTAAAGTTTTAGATTACTAGTTATATACATAAATATGTTAAGCATTTAATTTGGAAAAATTTATAATTAAAGTGGAACTAAATACTTAGTTTGTAAATGAACAACCTAAATATATAGGTTGATATTTAGCTTTATAACTAAGCATTTAGCTATAATTCTAAATACTTAGTGTAAGTATTTTACTTGTAAAGTATTTTACGTGGATTATGAATATTTAGTTGGACTAAATATTTAATTTGGAGCTACATTTAGTTTGTTAACTAGCAACAAGAGGCCAGAAGGCGAACGTGACAACTAAATATTTATGTTGCTAACTAAATATTTAGCAAACAAGCAAAATATTTAATTAGCAGGCTAATCAAATATTAGCTTGGTAGCTATAATTAAAGTTGGTAAAGTTAGCAATTTAAAGTGTAACTAAATATTTATTTTTGGAGTTATAAATTTCATCTAAACATTTTTGCTTGTGAATTAAATGTGTAGTTTGTAACTATGGCATTAATATGACTTTGAAAACTGAACACCCAGTTGTATTTTTTCTCTTTGTCAAACTAAATAAACCAAAATTATAACTGTTAATATTTGACTGAATAACTTTACGAACAGATGGGAGACGTGCAGAGGGACTCGTTCTGGCTGTCGGACAGATTTTCCCATTTTCACCTTCCATGTCGGCTCTTCCAGCAGCTGCAGGCAGGAGTCTTTCCGCCTGAATGTCTCGTCATAATTAAAAATGGGATTTATCGTCCAGAGAGCAACAACTTCTCAGGCCTCATTAACATTTAATGTTTATTTTCTGGAAATTACATAAGACAATATGAATGTAAAACGCCACGAACAACGGAAAGAAACAAACGTGACTTGTGCTTTTTTCCCCAGACGATTCACTTCCACTGTGGGTAAAAGTCCCAGTGTTCCCATTTCGTCCCCCAGTTGCCCACTGGGACTGGGCCACGCTGATGCGCCACGTATGAGACGGCAACACAATTAGCCCAAAACGCCTCCTTCCTCCCAGAGGTGTCTCCTCCCTCAGCGAGTTATTTTTGACTTCCTGGCTAATGACGGCGTCCTCTGGGGAACAAAGGAAGACAACCCGCTTTGTGGGGAGCCCTTTGCTGAAACTCCCATCCAGTGACATTTTGTTTTCCTTTTCCACCTTACGGCAAAAGTCCAACCTGATCCGAGCGTTTTGGTTTGGAGAAGAAACCAAAGATCCAGCTGAAGAATCATCTTTTCTTACAAAGAATTAAAACCAAACCACAAGCAGCCAATTTTACCCTCAACTCAATAAAACTGTTACCTGACTAACAAATGATCAACTTATAATTGATTATCATGAAGTAATAATGCATGACTGCATTAAATTGGCCCCATTCGACCAGCTGATGACGTCCAAACGTTTCAGGACGGCGTTAAAAACAACAACAAACTTTTTAGTAGGTTTGTTTTTGCAAAAACTATTTTTTTGTTTTTTTCATTTTTACCTGAAGCTATAGTGTCAAAACAACATTACTGTTCATCGCGGTGCCGTGTGGACGGTTTATAGTTATTGATGATTTAGTCCCACTAATCGGATCTTTACCGGGTGAAATGCGGGTTTACGTTCCCCTACTTTACGTTCTCCGATGTTATAGGTTGTGGTTATTGGTGAGGATATGTGATGAAGGTCAAGAGGTGGGAATACTTCTTCAGTTTTCTGTGGTCATTTCCATGGTAACCTGAGCGATGATTATCCAATCAGAGCCGCCTAACGAGTCGTTGTAAGTTCGTTCAGAGCGACTGTGATTCCCATCCACACGTTTCTGACTGATTGCAACGTTTTGGTGTTTCTGATCGTTTCACCACCCAACACGCCGTTCATGTTTGATTAAAATCATCGCTGAACATCTTCACACGTTCTGCTTGCGTGATGCGGCTGATTATTTATTTACAGGTTTGCTGCAGCAGCAACCGTCCCAGCAGAGGGAAACCAGCCGCTTCATGCCTGCAGGAGGAAGACGACGAAAATATTTCCTTTAAACGTCAAACCAACAGCAACTTTTGCACTCAGTTCACTGCTTGTCTGTATTTTCTGAAAGGTTCTGTGCTCACATTACATGAATTGAACTATGTGTGTCATTTGTACAGTTACACAATAAAAAAAATGATTGCAATATTTAATGAAGCCTCTCAGAGAAAGATAAAAATATAGCTAGTAAGTTAAATATTTAGTTATGGAGCTAATTATTTATCTAGAAACCTAAATATTGAGTCTGCAAGCTTAAAATTTAGCTAGCAGCCTATAAATTTAATTAGGAGGTTTTATATTTAGTCAGTGAGCTTAAACTTAGCTAGCAACCAAATCACTTAGCTTGTGGGATAATTTATGCTTTAAAAGTGTGCTAAAAGAAGTTAGCCTGTCAGTAAAGCTTTTCAAGTCTGAAATAAAATCTCAGGGCTAAACATGTAGCTGCAGTATGCTAATGTTAGCATCCACAGTCCAGATTTCTAAGGTTTCATAATCAGGGACCAACAGAAGGCAGTAGAACCAGGATAACAAATTAAAAACAATAAATATCTTTGCTGTTGGGCTCATGTATAATTAATTAATAATTAAGCTGAATGAATTGAAAATTTTGCTTATTTTGACTAAAATGTATTAATTAATCACAAACTGCACAATTAACTCACTTAAAATTTATTTTTTAAAATAATTATCTTGTAAATAACATCTGGATCGCATAATCGGGTCAGTAAGAAGAAAATTTTCCCAATCAGCTGCAATCAATGCATTTATGTTTCACCTGTAAACGACCTGGAGCAGCGCTGCAGTCGCTGTGTGTGTGTGTGTGTGTGTGTGTGTGTGTGTGTGAGTGAGTCATTACGTCACTGCTGATCTCTCCATGCAGCTTCACATCTGGTTTGTTCCCTCGGTGTTTCCTGAAAATGGGTCAGGCAGGACCGGGAAGATGGAGACCACGGCTGGGCCCGGGTCGCTGCACACAGACACATCTGGGAAATCAATCATGAGCGACAGATCCACATTCAGGTGCCGTGTGTGTGTGTGTGTGTGTGTGTGTGTGTGTTCAGGGCAGAATGCTTAATAGGAAGCAGAATCCATTATTGTTTACTCACCTTCAGGATTACGTCTTCATAATCGCCTCGCTCAGCCGCCTAACTTAATTAATTTGACTCTTCATGAATTTGCATATAGACTAAAATATGCGTCAATATTTAATTCGTCTTATGTGTCAAACTGCAGGCATGGGGGCTGAATCCGGCCCGCCGGAGCTTCTTTTGCGGCCCATGGGCTCCAGAGATAAACATGAACAGAGCCTGCTGGACAATGTGCTTAAACATTATTTTATCCAATTAAAACTGTCCCTCCTGTTGGTCATGGCTACACAACAATGGAAATCTACACAAAGTCAACAAATCCCCGCATTTTGTAAATTAATATTATGGGAATAAAGTCGTAAAATTACAAGAATTAAGTTATAACATTAAAGAACTAAGTATTTAAAAAACCTAAAATAAAGTTCAAATAATGAGAATGAAGTCATAATTGTTCTAGAATCCATTGCAGTTTATTGGAAGTTTCATACAAAGATGGTCAAAATATTGAGTTAAATTGATACCAACTCCTAACAGTAGGGGGCAGTATTTCTGACTTGTAACAACTTTAGTTACAATCAGCCTGTAATCCATAACAATGGTCACATTTACCATCATAATGAACACGAATGTTTCTAAATTAGTTTAGCAAAAACTTCAATTTTTATTGAAAAAGATAAAAATCAAAATCTCAGAGGGACTGAAAAAATGTTCAGTATTATTTAATTCTAATGTTTCAACAGATTATCGATGAGTTTTATCAATACATTCTGGCACAACCTTTCAGAGCATTTATTGCTCTGATTTGTGCCAGAATGACGGTGGGTTTGTGTTAAGCAACGCGCAGCGGCGTCTTCCCTCTGCAGACGTGTTTCATATTTATGGCGGCTCGTCCAGGAAGTGACAGATGGCTCTTCCTCACAGCTTTTCCTTCGCATGCCTGACAGAAAACACGTCGCTGCTGCTGGGAAAACACAGGAAGCAGAACATGCAGCACAACCAAACACAAACCATCAGTTTCATTTTAGACTTTTCTCATTTTAGACGGACTGGAAACTCATTTTGCAAAGAAATAAAGAGCTAAGGTGAATCAGTGAGTCCGTTTTCCGTCCCTGGTGAGCGGATGTGGAGTATTTTTGGTTTTCTTTTAATAACTGGTGGTTTAGAGGAGATCCGTTGCTGGCAGACCGGTGCGTCTCTGACGCTGGTCGTGATGCAAAAGCCCCAGCGGATCCTAAATGAGCGATCCAGCATCTTTCAGCAGCAGAAACTCACTGCAGGGTTGCCAGGTTGGACGGGTTTCCACCCAATCGGGCTGTTAAGATTGACGCGGCTTTTCAAAAATGTTTGGCGGGTTTTAGAAAGTGTTGATTGGAAAATTCTGTCAAAATAGTATGACAGAGTATAAATAGTAAAAATCGAGTTTAAATTCATAATTTGAGAATAAAGTGGTTTAAGTCAAAATAATGCATCAATAAATTTGAAGTATTGTGAGAAAAAAGTTGAATGAGAATAAAATCAAAATAATCTCTGAAATTGTAACATCATGAGAATAAAGTTATGCAAGAATAGTGTTGAAATATTGCAAGAAAAAAGTCATAAAATGACCATTTCATTCCGATAATATTGTGACATTCCCTAAATGCCATAATTGGACGACAGCGCCGGGCATTCTGGGTAAATACAACCAAAGCTAACGTGCTAGCCTAGCACTAGCAGCAGAAATGGCTGGTGGTCATTAGCCACAGACTACAGAGAAATTAGTTGGGAGGATTTCCTGTTGTGTTTGGGCTCGCAGTTATTAATAACAGATTAATAAGTGAATGTTTCTTCTTTTGCAGTTTCAGGTCTTTTCTCTGTTCACTCACTCAGAGGCCGGATCTTCTCGTTGCCATTTTTCTTTTAAGATAAGACGAGCAATTAATGAGTCGAGTCCCAGAGCCGCAATTACTGAGCATCAATCAGTCCAGGCGCCGCTCGCCCTCAGCAACATGGCTGCTTATGTGATGATGCCCTCCTAATGTCATCACGTCCAGGAACTGTGTAATATGTGGTGATAAATTTATTTTCTGCGTATCGAGTGAAGGAGGCAGTCAGCCAAGCGAACATGCTTTCCCTACACGGTTCTGTTTTTACATCAATTCTTGCAGAAAAATTCTTGCTTCTTTAACTTTTCCACTTTGTAACCATGAACTTCTATGGAGCGAAATTGGTGCCCAGATGTTTGTTGAAACCTTGAGTTTGAAAAGAAGTTTTAAAAAATGTATATTTTCAGTTTACATTTTTTCTAAAACTTTTATTTCAGTTCCAAATCTTTTTTTAAGTTTGTAAATGATAAAATCTCTTCAGTAACGTAACAAACCCCCTGCTGTGTAAAATTAAAATGGAAAGTGAGATAAATGTGTCCGGATTCTCTAAACATAAATTATAATCATGTATTCAGAATCTGATGAAACTGTTTCTCCTTAACTTCCTGTCTTTTCCCCCCCGACGCTCCTGAAACCCAAACGAATCTCCCAAACAACCTTTAGTGGGTTTGACGTCGACGCAGACGCGTTCATGTGAGCAGGTTGTGTCGTCCCCAGGAGGGAAACAAGGCGGTGCAAAGCATGATGGGAAAGAGACAAAGAGAGGGAAGGTGGCACAGCAAGACGACGGCTGATTTACCACAAGCATTTCAAATTAAAGTCACGGTCAGAAAGCAGATGCACCAGAATAACCTGAACTGATCAGGAACTGAGATCAGATGTGATTATACACTGAAAAACATTTCTGTTGGAATAAAAGGCCGTAAATCTGCAGCTGCACTCTAAACATGAAAATGTTGAAGGCAGAAAGCAAAACTCTGGAGTCACAGACCTGCCCTGATGAGACGGATCAGAAAAAAACTGCAGAGTCATGATTATTATTTTCTGATATTTATGCAAGAAAACAATTAACTGCATTTCAAACAAAATTTCATATTAAATCTTTAGTTTGAAGCCAAATAATTGGCATGCTAACTAAGTTCAAAGCTAAATATTTACTAACTAGCAGAAATGGCTCATGGTCATTAGCCACAGACTAAAGAGAAATTAGTTGACCTAGAACCTAGCTTACTAAATAAGCTAGGTTCTTTAGCGAGCTAACTATATTGGCTACATATTTAGCCGGCTAACTAAATACTTCATTTGAAGCTAAATTTTAGTTCAAAGCTAAATATTTAGCTTACTAACAAACTATTTAGCTCCAAACTAAATATTGAGTTAAATATTTAGCTGGTGAAGTTGGGACTTTGGACACTTTACTGATCCAGTGGCGTTTAGAGAAATTTCCTCCTGATTGCTGCAAATTGGATACAATCTTCTGGTTTCTTTACAAAACCTTCCTTTCAGTTTGAATAATGAACTGATTCCTTGTCACCATTTTGAATCTGATTGTATTGATTATATCCCCGTAAATTAATTAGATGTTTTGTATTTGTTGTGACTCGGCGCCACATAAACTAACTGAACCGATTTGAATTAGACCCAACAGGCTACCTGAACCAGCAAATGAAGTTTCGTCTGCAACATTTTCCACCTTTAATCAAAATCATGTTGCGCTCGGTGTGATTTTGCTCAGTGGCGATGATTTCAGCCGATAATGAGGAGGCTGATGGCAGAAACGGCGCGGCGGGGCGCCTCCACATCAGCCTGAAGACGCTCATGAAGGCAGCATGAAAACACAATTATCAGATTTCCTGAACTGTCCTGGGCTAATCAGCGGAGCGGCTCAGATTAACGGCTGGGATTAAAACCAGCCAACACGGGAGACAAGAAAACATTATTATGGGAAATGCTAATGTAGCATGTTGCTTCTTTCACTCATGTTAGAAAAAAGAACACATTTCCAAAAGTATTCATACCCACTCATTTAAAACACTTTTTAACATTTTATTCTTCTTGTAACTTAGATTTAATTTTAATTGTTGTGCAAAAATGTAAAGTGCAGGATGCAGTTTGTAAAGTTACACAGTTAAAAATGAACAGTAATATCTCGCCTTATTTAACCCAAAATAAGAGGGAGAGTTTCAAACTAGCTTATCTTGCTAACTAAATACTTTGCTTGGATTTATAGCAATATGAATCCAAGCTAACTAGTTATAGATTTAACTAGTTAGTTTACCATTTAGTTTGTAAACTTCCAGGCTGAATATTTACCAACTTTAGCTAAAAGTTAGTTTGCCATCTATTCAAACTAAATGGTTACTTAACTAAATCCTAAGAGCAGCTGGAGGAAACCGACCGTCCAGAGGGCCAACCACCCCGAACATGCAGCCTGAGACATTATAGACGCTTACGTCAAGGCAGATTCATGGGTTACAATGGCCTAGTCAAAGTCCAGATCTTAGTCTGGGAATCAATGACGAGACCTACAACTTGCTGTTCTGAGGACACAAAGCAATCTGAGAGCTTATTTTGCTCAGAATGGACAAAAGTCAACATTTCCCAAAGTAAACGCCTGAAGAGGTGTGAATACTTTTCCAAGCAGATTTATGCGAAGCAGCAAGATGGCTGAACGTTTGGTCTTCGGCGGCTGCATGAATAAAACACGCGGCTGCGTCTGAGTGGATGAGGGAAAGCAGCAATTAGAGGACAAATGTTGATAAAGTGTGCAGCGATGCTATCAGGGAGAAAAGCTGAGCTGTAATTACGATGAAAGTTATCGGCTGTGTGTCTGTCAGAGCCGCCACGCCGCCGCCGCCTTATCATCGCAGCAGTCAGGGAACGAATCTGAGCCGGGCAGAAATGAGTCTCACAGCAGACAATACCTCTGATTACCTTCATCACGCCGCTCCCATCACGCCGCCGCCGCGGCGCAGGGCAGACGACACGTTCCGGGCGCATTCAGTTTGCTGCTACGCAACCAGATCCAGTTTTCACCTTATCGCTGCTGCTTCATGAGGCTTGAACGGGACAGACAAATCACTTTCCACATGGTTTTATATGTCCATTTGAGTTTCCACTGACTCTAAAAACAGCCAAACTCTTAAAACAACAGATCTAGCTTTTGCTTTTTGGTGTCTGGAAAATGAGCCGTTCCAAAAACCTCTCAAATGTTGAGTCACAATTGATGGGCACTGCACAGTTACCTAGCAACCCCAGCCCCGTCTGTTACCTAGCAACCCATTAGTTCTGCAAGAGGAACTCCAGCACATTTGGTCAGCTGGATTTACTGCGCTCTACCATGACTAGTATTACAGACATCCTAACAAGAAATAAAAAATACAAAACTTACAAAAAAAGAAAACAAGAATAGTCATAATAAAGTCGCAGTCGCACGGCTTTATTCTCGTAATTCTTTTTTTTCTTAACTTGGCTAATACTCTCTCACACAGTACAATGGCTGCTGGAAAAGACAAAGTGTTTCGTTGTCTTATCCAGAAACCACTTGGTGCAATCTTGTTTTTTTGGAGGCTCAACTTCTGCTTTTCAAAGATGTATGAATGTATAATGGCGCAACTGTTTGAAGCCATTTCCAAGTGTGAGTTGGAGGGGGCGTGGCCAGCAGCTTATAGTTGGAGGGGGCGTGGCCAGCAGCTTATAGTTGGAGGGGGCGTGGCCAATAACTGCTTATAGTTGGAGGGGGCGTGGCCAGCAGCTTATAGTTGGAGGGGGCGTGGCCAATAACTGCTTATAGTTGGAGGGGGCGTGACCAACGGCAGCTTATAGTTGGAGGGGGCGTGGCCAACAGCAGCTTATAGTTGGAGGGGGCGTGGCCAATAACAGCTTATAGTTGGAGGGGGCGTGGCCAGCAGCAGCTTATAGTTGGAGGGGGCGTGACCAACGGCAGCTTATAGTTGGAGAGGGCGTGGCCAATAACTGCTTATAGTTGGAGAGGGCGTGGCCAATAACTGCTTATAGTTGGAGAGGGCGTGGCCAGCAGCAGCTTATTTGAATTTAAGGTGACAGGACGCCCTAAAACAGCTCAAAATAAGCA